CTCCGATACGGACGGAGCCGGTGAAATCCCTGAAGGCAAACCTGAGGGGGAAAGTGACGGCGGCAGAGGGAAAGGCAACGCCGGAGGAATCCCTTTGCCGTGGCTCATTGCCATTACGGCAACAATCAATTTCTCGCCATTCTGGCATCGGTTGTGATCACCGCTGATGAAGAAGAAGTGGCCGGAGCGGTCGAGATTGAAGATGGAGTGGCCATCGTCGAGTTTTTTTATGGGCTTGGTTGTGTTGCATGAGTCGTAGTCTTGTTTGTTTACGAGGAGGACAGAGTCTTCTCCCTTTTTGTAGTGGAACACTGCATTGCATCACTTGAATCAATAAAGCTTGAATGGCCATCCAAAAAAAAATATACAAAACAATCCAATCACTAGCATTCAGATCCTAAATCCCTAGATTACAATTATATATCCTATTATAGTGAACGGTCGTCCATGTAAATTTTATCGGTCTATATCTTTTACTTAATATTAACTTTGAGCTTAACGCTTAATTAAACATCATAATTTACGTTTTTATGATATGAAAGTTCTAATTATTTTTGACCGCATGGAAAACTCCTCAACCCGAGAACAACCCTCAACCCTCATTTATAATCTTAGCGGTGACAAATAATTGAATCTTTTACTTCAAATTTGGTTTTTCTAGGCCAAATGTTTTGATCTCGCTCCCGGTCTAGAACTAAACTGGTTTTATGCTAGAAAAGTTCCAAATTTCATAAAAACCCATAATACAGTAAATTTAGAAAAGATTGCATTTAATAAATCGGGTTTGTTAATAAAAAGATAAAAACGCATAAGTTTAAACCCATAAAAAAAACACTCAATTGAGTGATCCTGGAGAGAGGATACAGAGTATTACAACCAAGGCATGCGTTAATTACAATTTACAACTACAAAGTTTGAATCAGTGGACATGAAATAATCAAGTGATCACGTATGTAACGTTACCTAGCTTGTCATTGACGAGAGGGGGCAATTAGTTTCTTAGGACAATGCTTTGCACGTTTCGATCATCAGACCGTATTTCTAACCTTTATTTATTCATTTTCGTTTGAATTAATTTCAATCTGATATCATCTGATTTAATTATCAACCGTTCAAAACTTAATTCGTGTTAATTACTATCTAAACAGCTAATATTCCCAACAATATCCTCCAGGAATGAGATGATTTGCGCCGGAGTTAAAAATTTTAAACCAACCTCCCAATTGCCTGGGCTAAATTTTCCAAATCAATCTTGACATAGATCATCCCATTTAATGGGTATTCTAATGGAATCCCAATCCCAACCAACATCCACAACCACCATTGTTCATCACCAAAAGAATATCAAATAAGTAACATAGAACACTAGCTATATAGCAGACAACACCAACATAAACATCACCAAGAAGAAAAGGAAGGAAAGGAAAGAAAAAAGGAAAAGAAAACCAAAGCTAGCTAGAACCTATCCACAATATGTTCTACATGCCAAATTAACCACAATAGACACCAACAAGTACAACACCCAAAACCCAAACCCAACCACTACCAATCTCCGCCCCACAAGCCCCGGAGCCAAAATTATCCCCC